GACTCAGTCAGCTATCAAAGAGCGTCTTATGCTCCTTTTGATCTGACATGAGAATCAAGCAGAGCGTACAGTAATTTTCTTGCCATCTTCTAATCTAAACAGGTCTAATTACAGACACCAAAGTGTATTTGGGTGGATTCATAGCATACACATTGGAGCACATTCATTGCACAACAGCCAGGAAATGGGGTGTGCTGTGCAATTGGAGAGACTGAGTACCAAGAGCCTTTAGTTTTTCTTGAGTTGCATCACAAAACTCAGTGCTGTGGTGCACCGCATTTTATAAATCCCTGTGTAGATTCAGTAAAATGCATAAGTAATTAGAGGCTTTAGCTTGGATAGCTATAGCTCTGCTGCACATGAAGGCAGAGAAGTCATAATTAGAAACTAGCCAGCAACACTAAAGGGTTAGATGGCAAACACTTACCAGGACACATGTACTTTGTTATTAAATCTTAGCAGTTATCATTTGATATAGCAGCATCCTGTCCTGTTTTTAACGTTTGTCTGATGACATAGCCTTGATGGACCATCCGCTGCTTCCATAACAGGATGTGGCCTGTTGAAGCTCCAGTAAAGACTCATTAAAATTGCTTGTATGTTTGCTAGAGGTGTGTTTTTCTGTGTTGGCACATATTTCAGCAACTATGTATAACTGTGAAAAGCACACCTGGGCAAAACATTTAAACTGTCTACTCAGTCTCAGAATGACTGAGCAACAGGTTAAACACCACCAAGTGATTGTCACTTTCCACATTTTCCTTTCCAGAAGGAGGTGGGGTTTGTATTTTGTTTTTTATACACAAAAAATCCCTTGTTTCTATACCCATCTCTAAATGAAAACGTGAACTACATTTTTTAGACTCAAACTGCTGCATTGAAATTGATCTTTGACAAAATGAGGGACAGAAAGAAAAAGATGGACATAATGTTTCCAAATATATTTAGATTTTATATACATTTAATATAAAACAATATATAACATATTTACAATGCATGCAGCACCATGTCTTTATAATATTGATAGAATTCAGTCGCTCAATTAAGTGCCACCTCCAGGATAATATTTACAACATTATATTTACAGTGCAGTAATTTACTGCAATACATAACTGAATCTTGAAGTTCCATAAAAAGAGAAACAAAACAACTTTGCCATCACCGATGACATAGATCGATCTTCCCAAGACTTCTGAAATGTCACTTCCTAAGTTCAGACTCCTCAGCTGTTGATGTGGAATTGGATCAGTCCAACTTGCACTGTTGCATCCCTCTGGGTGTATCACCTTTCCAGGAATCGTGTCTATCCTTCCAGGGGCTCTGTTTGAGTCAGCAGCTTTGGCAGGAAATAATGTTTTAGATGTTGGGTGTTTGTGTGTGTCTGTCAGCATCTCTGGTGTATGCAAGGCTAAAAAGTGTTTGTCAGTGTGTGTGTGTGTGACAGATTTTTTGGGTTTGCTGGGTGTGTGTGTGTGGTGTGAGTGGCCACGTGTTTGTATCAGCGTCTCTGACAGGTGTGTAGGTTCCGGGCTGCAGTCCTGCTGACACTGTGATCTCGTTCTCCTTTGTCTGGTCGGCAGGTCAGGCTGTCGCCACAGTCGCAGCGCTGGAACAGCTCCAAGCCATGGGTGCCTTTCCTGCGGTGGCGTGTACACACCTGGCCCTCTGTCAGCACAGGCTTACAGATGCGAGACCAGAAGTGTCTAGCACAACACAAACCCTCAGTGCAGTCTGCGGATCTCAGGCAAGTATCTCCCTCCTGGCCTGGAGATAGAGGGAAGAGAGAGGTGGCAACATGTTACATGAAACATAACTCAGGAAACATCTCATGTGTTAGTAAGATGGCGCCAACAGCGATGGCAGCCTTGGTTACTCAAGCTATCTTTTGTTTATTGTTTTTCTTTGTTTTCTCTGTCCTTACTGCCTGTTTATACTGTTTATTTTGCATTGTGTGCACTGTTTGTTGCTTGTTAATACTGTTTATTTTGTTATACTGCACAGCCTTATGTTGGTTTACTGTTTACTTGCCCCTTGCATGGGGATATGTACATGCACATTGAGAACCGTTGTACCAGAGGCAAATTCCTCGTGTGTCCAACACACCTGGCCAATATAGCAGATTCTGAGATGTTGTTGCTTGAACCAAAAAGAGGTGACAGTTCTAACAGGACACTCACCTTTCACAGCATGAGGCTCCTGGCCAGTGGGAGGCCTCTTTGTAAGATGCTCCAGGGTGTTGTTGCATTTGTGCCAGCCAGTCATGATGGATGCATCTGTATAATCTATGTCATTTGCCTGGCAAACACCTGAAAGGTCAAAGAGTAAAAGAAAATGCATATAGGGTCTACTATATATTAAGTTGTTATTTCCTGGGACAAATTTGCAAACATGCAAGACAATATACAAGCAAAGTGTCCCCAGCTTTGACAGTAATAGCAACAACTTCTTAACGTAAGCATATATTTCATGAGACGCCTCTGCTCACCATTGCTGCAGCGGTTTCCTGCACAGCACATGGAGTCTCGTACACAACGCTTCCTGCTCTTACGACACGGCAGGCAGGCGCCTCGGGCGTCGTTGCAGAATTCATCACCTGCACAGTCTTCGTCATCCGTGCAAACACCTGACTGCTGCAGCGTGATAAAAAAAATACAAAAGGAGTGTCATTTAATTACTGAGATGTTACTTTTAAAACTTGCACATACGAACCGTTTGTGATAGCCCATAGACAACTTTTACGCACGGGAAACTTAATTACCTGCAAGGTGTCTACGGGTGATCTGTGTCCCATGCTACCGGGAGGTGAGACCGGACTCGGACTGACAGTGTCCGCGCCTTTGCCACCCAAAGCACCGGGCAAGTTTTTAATTGCGTTAGAGTTCATCAGAACTGTCCCTGCGTAAACGTCTCCAAGGTATCCAAAGAGGGTGAGATACACAGCCAAGACGCGATGCGCTGACGGTATCGGCATTATTCCCCACTTAATGTGTGTGTGGTACACACGCAAAGCCCTCCTCTCTGGTTAGCTGAAAAATTCAGCGAATGACTAAGTCCAAAGCGGCCTTGAATCCTGAATCCCAAAGTCTCCCTAAAGTTACCGCACGATGCTTGGAAGTCTCCTGTCTCACAGTCCCGGGATGATCTCTTTATACATGCGGACCTGTTTGTATTCCCGCCCCTCGCTGTGCACTACAAAGAGGAGGTTTGGAATTTCAAAGAGAGCCAGTGCCCATCTATTCCCCCAGCACAGGGATGCTTTTCATAATGTTTGTGTAATGGTAATGACCTGCAAAGTCTGAATGCCCATCATTTAGTGACACATACTGGAAATAAATCATCTAAGTACACTGTTAGGACTTACTCAGTCCACTTATCTACTTATATAAAAATCGCATTTAATTAACATGTTTAGATTATAGATTTTATCATTTTAATTTTTCTTTCTTAAAATGTGTCATTGTTAATATGACACGCTGTAAGACACCAGCTGTGCTTTGTTTCACCACTGACTTACATTTGTGGAAGACAAATGTGAGTCTTCAATCAGTATTCAAATTATCCCCACTGCTTTGTTTTTCCAAGGCCACTGATAACAACGGTTCACCATATATTAATATAGCCTATATGACTTAGGTGACGTTCAGACTATTATACCTGCAATTAATTTTAAAGAAAAACTATATATGTATGTACTGTATTTAGTATTATACTGTATATAATTTGGCTTTATAGCTGTGACATGACGCCTCAACACCATTTCCAATGATGTAGAATTGTGCATTTCTCTCTTGCTAAAAATCCGTTACACTTCTCTATAAAAGCTATTTGTTTCTTCCAGTTTCTTTGACATTCAAGTAGCCTAACTGCCCTTTGGCTGCGTGAAGACTGATTGAAGTTACTTGGGTCGATTAGCTACTTCATTTGATCCTTCTGATTGCAAAGGGAGCAATTATCCTCCAAAGTGCGCTTGATTACACCAGCGTCGGACATCAATGTGTAAGATATGCAGACCATTACGGGGTGTGAAAAGTTTACCGAATAAATGGACTTCCGTGGCGAGGCCCTTCAGGCTTGACTGGCACTTTGGAGATTAAAGGCAAACTCTAATCTGGTCTGCTCTCTGACCCTTTGGGCTCCTACCCTGAAATAAGGACAGATTTGTTTTTGAAATGTTCAAATTATAACTAAAAAGTGGTAATGTTGACCTGTATCTACCAGCCAAGCCAGACTCTCCCTCTGGGTTTGTTTCAGCCTTTCTGTCTATCTTTTTATTTTTTAGAAGTCTCATTCGAAAAATATAGGCTACCTGAAGACGATCTTGAAAATCATTAGTAAGTGTTAGACTCTGAGTTGTTTTAAAACATTTGATTTGATTTGATTTATTCTTTCAAGCATGTAAAGACAGTTGCTATATCAACACACATAATTTTACACATATCCAACTCGTTCTATTTTACGCATGAGGAAGACGCCGGTTTCCAGCGTGCTGAGAAAAGCTCACAGGGGTTCAAGTGTCTTTTAGTTAGTTTATAATTGAGGATATCTTGGCAAATGGACGTCATCTGCTGGTCACGTAGCCTATGTCTGAGTGTGAGGATGTGCATGTGAGTGCATGATTATGTGCGTATGAGGCGCCATGGACGTCTGACAAACACGCTGTAGCACTTTGCGCGTTTGAATTGCAGTATACCTTTTGAAGTGGCGCGTTTATCCCCACTTTACTAAATGTCAGTATGGCAAGGTGAGCTCCTTTGATGCACCCTGATCCCCTTTGATCTCACAAAAGTGTCACCCTGTCGTTATGGCTGAAGTCAATTCCCTGTCCCTCAAACAGATTTGTTGTGTGAACAACACTGAGACGAGAGAAGCTGAGTCATCTGCACTTAGACAGCAGGTCTGAAGATGTTACAAGCAGCTCCATCGTGTGGCAGCTATAGCAAAATGGAAAAAGTCCACGGCACAAACGGAGATATTCAGTAGTGGAAGAAGTAGCTTACTCGGATTAAAAGCAGTAATACAACAGTGGAAAAATGCTTTTGTAAAAGCCCCGCATTCAAAAATGTTACTTATGTAGAAGTATAAAAGTATTAGCATCAAAATATACTTAAACTACTAAATATAAAATAAATCATTGTGCAGAATGCCACATACATTGTTTGAATATAACTACTGATGCATTATTGGGTTCATCACTCTAATGTTGCAGCTGGCAAAGGGGGAGTTTATATCTTATATGTTTATGATTTGCATTTCTGCTGGGTAGCTCATGAAAATGTAATGATTATACTGTATTTTGTTTTGTTATTCTGATTTTGAAAAATAACCAGTAACTAAAGCTATAAAATAAATGTAGAGGAGTTAAAAAGTACAATATTTTCCTCAAATTGTGATGTAAAAGTATGAAGTAGAACAAGATGAAAGTACTCAAAGTGCAGATACCTCAAAATTGTACTTCAATACAATACTCAAGTGAATGCGCTTGGATACTTTCTATCACTGGAGATGTTCCAAATAATTAAGAGACAAACACCACTCAAAAGTATTGTTTTTACTCTAATTTTAAAAATCTTACACGGTGCACTGCAAAATCAATTTACAGCAGAGTAAACGACGTACTGTAACACAAGGCAAATATCAGGTGACACTGCAGAAGGCGGTCAATGTAAGACTTAAAACCAGTGATTTGTAAAACAATGACATACATAAGGCTTTGTGAGCAACATAACCTGCCCTTAATACACAAAAATATTTATACCTACACAACTAAGATTTCTTCTCAGTTTTTAGGTCTCCATCAGTGTCTTCCTTTGATTTATATCATTTAAATATAAGTGTGTCTGTGTGCTTGGCTTCTTGGGATGAAATGAATGGAGCTGATCAGCTTTTTTCAGCAGTGGAAAACAATTCTTTTTGTGCTTGTGGAAAAATTTTAAAGCTGCAAATCATTCATGCCTTCTCTAAAAGCTCAGATTTCATGACTAAATGGGACAGACAGTCCCTCTGAGCTAGGATTTACTGTTCAGTTTAAATGAGACCAATTGTTGACTTTAAGAAACACTGGGAGAAAAGTATGTCATTGCAGCCAAATCAGATATAATTGATTTTTAATGTTGTAGCCATCGAATGACTAGAAATTCTCTTTTCATGGTGATTCATGTAGTTTGACATAACAAAAAGATGAAAGATGAGAAGCAGCCATCAGAGAGGACACACACGAGGTGTATGTGTGCTAATGCAGCATCAAAAAGGTATTGTGATGTAAATTTTGTATGCCATTGATTTAAGGCACTTACATTTCTTCTGATTTTTGGATGTGACAGGTAATGAGCTGGGTTGGTCAAAGTTGAGCCTCACAAAATACATCTTTTTGTCGTTTGCTGTCGGTCTCTAGAAGATATTTTAACATTGCCATTAGCTAATGTTAATTCAAGCTAGTTGATTCCAAAGGAGAGGATGGCCAATTTATATGAATGAACCCAAGATGATTAAACCTGTTTACAAACCTTGAAAGTACCACTTAACACAAAGTAGCAAGGTGTCAAGTGATAAACAAATCTTCACCCAAGTTTACGAATTGACACAAGTCTCCAATTTTTTTAAAGGAGGAAGTCAAGTACATTACAAAGAAATCAAGCACAAAAAATTACTATACAAAAACAATAGCCAGTACTGTCATCTCTCTTTTGCTAATTATAATTTATCAACAACAGCACCAAAGACATCGAAACCATTTTCACAGTTGTGTCAGACCTATACAGGAGTGAACATAACATGTCTGGTTTGGTTAAATGGGAAGAGGCAATTGGGTGATTTAAAAACTAAATTAAGAAGTATGTAGGTAGAGAAGCATTCATACACATGATTAAAAGCGCATCAAAGAACATAAAAAAAAAAGAGTGACTTCATCTGCTGAAGTTATAACTGCTGATTTTCATGGTTAATGGTCTTAAGTGCATAATGACACATTACTTCAAGAAATACTAGCTGACATCTCATGTGTGTCGGTGTGTGAGTCATTAAATTTTCAGCAGGGCACTTGAAGAGTCTCGTCTCTTTCCACCGAATGCACAGCATTTGTGCTTTTCAAGATAGGTTAATCTTATACAAAGTCTACTAAGTATTTGATTTTAGCTTCAGCTACGTTCATGTGTCAAATACTATGTACCATTCATACTGTATGTCATATGGATGTTAAACATGAAGAACATCATTGACATTCAGGTTAGTCTTGAGCACTTGATACCAGCTTTACTTGCAAACCGTACTGTGTGTAAATCTCTGGAAAGTATCAGAGCTTGCAGCAAGCAACTGCGTGTCAAAATCAAGAGAGTAACTGTGGTAACATCTACCCTCCCAAAGTCCACCAAATATTGCAGAGAATCAAACTGAAAAAAATCAATCATCTGCCTCCTCTCTGTTTCAGCTGTTCAAAATCACACTTTTCACACTCCTGTTTATCCTACAGCCAAGCCTCACACAGACTGTCGAACATTCAGTCACACACTAAACATTTTCCCCTGTTACATGGGAAAACCTGGCTCCATCATCAGCCTCTGTTGTACTGTGTGTATGCATGTGCAACCCTGCACTTTGTTTGCCTTTAGAACCAAGTGTAAGACAACACTGAGGAAGTGCAACAGCAGTCCCATTATAAATGCTTCATCCAGAGCCACAGTGAAATAAAGGCATATCGGTGACCCAGAGGGTTTGCCATTATCTTCTTTTCCATATCCTCTCTCATTTTTAATGCAGTTTATTTTTACAACACAACCATGTTCCCAAGAAGACCTTCAAGCCAACAAAAGAAAAGTTTCTTTTGGTTTTAAGGGGAGAGAAGAACTTCAAAAATCGACGTCCCAGCCGGAGTTGTCATCAGGGGGTGGGTCCTCGTTGTCCTCTGGGAAACTGTCGAAATTACTTGTGTCAACTGCTGATGTGACCTGGTAAAAAGAACAATTAACGAAGAGTGTAACCAGTGTATTCCTAATGTGAGATTCACTACAAAATAGCAACTTGACAGAACAACTTCAGGTTTGTTTTCAGCACTGTAGCCAGCCTGACAGAGACCCATAGTGCCACTGAGCTTAGTATTCCCTTAAGTTTCAGTAGTACTAACTTCATGAGCTTCTCTACAATTAAAATCACAGCTTTTAGAGAAGATATTAGAGCATTGGATCCTTTCCATAACTCTAAAATTAAGCTTAGGCTTAAACCATTCCTTTTGGTAACATTCATAGTTAGGGCTGGCTCAGCTGAACTTGAGCCTTCCCTTAGTTATGCTGCTATAGGCCTAGACTGCTGGGGTCCTCCCATGATGCTCTGAATTCTTCTTATTTCCTCCCCTCTCCTCACCACACTCTCTATGCATCTATGTGCCACCATTGCACATTACTAATGTTGTCTCTTCTCTCCTGTAATTTATCCTCCGTCTCCCTGGCGCCTTGCTGCAGGTATCCCTGGCTCCAAAGTTTTAGGTTTCTGATGAACAGTTATCAACCACATCAACCTGCCCAGTGCTTGATTGTTTGGTTTTTTGTTTGTTGTGGCCTGATGCTTTTCTTTTCTCCCTCCTCTAGCCACTCACTCAAACCAGTTAAGACAGCAGGCCACCCACCAAGAGCTCGGTTCTGTTGAAGGTTTCTTTCATTAAAGGGGGTTTTTCTTCCCCTCTGTCACCAAGTGCTTGTTCAAAGGCAATTTGTTGGGTTTCTCTCTACTATACTCTGGGCTCTAGACCTTACTATGTAACGTTCCCTGAGATCATTTCCACTGTGATTTAGAGCTAGACGAA